AACTTCATTGAAACTTCTGCATTGCCTATAAGTTTTAGCCAATCAGATTAATGAAAAATTTTACTATATCGTAGCAATCCTACTTCCTCCCTCTTTCTATGGCTATGCTTTGCTGGGTGAAGGACGTCTCTTGCTTTGTTTAAAATGTAATGCGCCATCATCAAACTTGTGGGGTGCAGATTGGCCCCCATTGTGAAGCGCAACAAATAAAAAAGATATATTTGGAATATCAAGTGATTTTTTGTGATTCTTCAAAAGTTCCCGACTGCCAAATTAAATTTTATCATCGCAGTAAAGAGTTGACAGGATCTACATTTGAAACTCTTAGTAGAATACTGAATTAAGTCAGTTGGTGCAGCAACTTCAGTGTCTTTTTGCACAGTGCAACCAAAAGTTAACTTTGAGTTTTGTGCTCCGAAAATTTTGTCTTTCTGCCCACAGGTCGAAATTGCTTGCTTAGAAACTCTAATATTAATTGCAAAAAAAAAAAATAATAATAAAAATAAACAAATTTGAACTATATTTGCTGTTTTAGGCTTTTCCACATTTTACAGTTTTTAATGAAGATGTTCTGAGTTTTTATGTACGTAGCGTATTCGGAAACTAAGTACCGTTTCATTCTAGCGCCGTCGCAGCGCTGTGGTAGGCGTCCCGCGCATGCGCACTAGTCTTTCTTGTTCACTGACTTTCAATTGTCGCCATTTTGGTTGCTCTATGTTGTGTTTTCAGTTTGCTGTGCACATTCAAAATGTTTTAAGACAATTAGTTCTCCCGCCGACTGTGATATTCGATTTTATTTATATTATATATTTATATTAATTTATTTATATTATATATATACTGTGATATTCGATATTGATTAAATTTTTGAACGCGAGGAATGTTAAACCGGCCGAAATTTATCGTCAAGTGACAGAAGTTTACGGTGAATACGCGATAAGTGATGGAATGGTTAGAAAGTGGGTAAGAATGTTTAATGCAGGTCGAACAAATTTCCACGCCGAGGCTCGGAGTGGTCGGCCTTCTGTTGTCACCGATGATTTGGTAAGGAAAGTTGACGAAGCGATTCATGAGAACAGACGCTTCACAATGACAACTCTTTCAGAGGCATTTCCACAAATTTCACGTACTGTTTTATTCGAAATTGTGTCTGACCGCTTGAATTATCGCAAACTGTGTTCCCGATGGGTTCCAAAAATGCTCACTGATGTTCACAAAACAAAGCGACTTGGTAGTGCCCTGACATTTCTCACGCGGTACAGTGATGAGGGAGAAAACTTTTTAAACCAAATTGTGACAGGTGATGAAATTTGGGTGTGTCATTTCACACCAGAATCGAAACAACAATCGATGGAGTGGAGACACACTCATTCTCCGAAAAAAACAAAAGTTCAAAGAGACAATGTCATCACAAAAAATCATGTGCACTGTCTTCTGGGATAGGAAAGGCGTTTTGCTTACTGAATTTCTTCCCAGAGGTGAAACCTTAATGCGGCACGATATTGTGAGACTTTAACAAAACTAAGGCGTGCCATTCAAAACAAACGAGGAGGAATGCTCAGTAAAGGAATTGTTGTTGCTCCATGACAATGCTCGGCCCCATACTGCTGGTGTCACTCAATCGTTAATTCGACAGTTTCATTGGGAGCAGTTCGATCGCCCGCCGTACAGCCCGGACTTGGCGCCGTCCGACTATCACTTCTTCCTGCACATGAAGCGCGAGCTTGGTGGCAAGCGCTTTGGATCTGACGATGACACGAAAAATGCTGTGGAGTCGTGGTTATCGAAACTGGCGCGAAGTTTCTTTGACGATGGTATACAAAAACTGGTCACCCGCTATGACATGTGTTTGATCATTGGCGGTAACTATGTTGAAAAATAGTTTAAGACATATATTTTCATGTAAAAATAAAATTGGATTCGAAAAAATTGTTTTAATTTTTTTTTTTTTTTTTTTTTTTTTTCAAAACGGTACTTGGTTTCCGAATACGCCTCGTCGTTTTGCCCACGAATTGAATTGATTGAATGAGAGCTATATTTCTAATGAAATTCGAGATAATAAGTTTAAATGAAATGCAGGAAGAAAATGCGTATAATTTAATACTCCGTATATGGAAGTCATGTGGTGTACACATCAGCTTTTTAATACATACTTTGTAACTCATGGTAAAGTCAAGTCAATGCTTTATTTTTTTCCTCCGCTGTCGCTTTGCAACTACGCAATTAATCACTTTACTGTTTTCATCTGTTAAAAAGGTGTGATGCGCATGTATAAAATTGTGGGAAGCTTATAGCATCCATAGTATTGTTTCAAACAAGGCTAAATGTCCTAAATATCTTTCTAAGGGAAACAGGCTCGAATACACGTTACATATGAGGAAAATCATATGTAATGTGTATCAATCATATGTAACGTGTATCATATATAACGTGTAATCAACGAAAACATCTATGCAGCCAGCCGGGATTCCAACCTCGGACCGAAGCACACAATTTACGAATCTTTGAATTATACAGTGGATGGACAAAAATATGGAAACACCTTGTGAAATGCATGTTTGAAAAGAAAGATTGATTTTAATGAAATATGTAGGTGTCGCTGGCGTTTTTGACTACTGACGCCACCTATACAACTTCGTAAATGTGCTAAACAGTTCAGTTGTTGTCGGAGTACTGTTATGTGAGGTTGTCATTGCATTATGTCAGAGTTAACAGACGTCGAACGTGGGCAAATTGTAGGAGCACGTATGGTAGGTGCTTCCGTAAGCAAGGCAGCCGAGGTGTTTAGTGTTTCAAGAGGTACTGTATCGAAGATTTATTCCGCATATTTGAAAAGCGGAAAACATCATCTGCTAAATCACAGCGCGGACGAAAGTGTGTCCTGAGTGATCGTGACAGACGATCATTAAGGGCAATTGTGACGAAAAATAAGAAGACCACAGCTGCAAAAGTTACTGCTGAAATGAATGTTGTGTTACCGAACCCTGTGAGTACCAAAACAATTAGAAGGGAGTTTCATAAACAGGGAATTGCTGGCCGTGCTGCAATTGAGAAGCCACTCATCAGTGATGCTAATGCCCGTAACAGGAAATGGTGGTGTTTAAGTCATAAAGCCTGGACGATAGAGCAGAGGAAGCGAGTAATATGATCTGACGAGTCTTCTTTCACATTGTTTCCCACTTCTGCCCGAGTTTACGTCTGGAGAAAGCCATCTCAAGCCTATAATACAGACTGCTTGCTGCCAAGAGTGAAACATGGCGGGGGTTCTGTTATGGTTTGGGCAGCCATATCGTGGTTCTCTGCTAGCCCCATGATAACTGTGTCAGGGCACATGACTGCCAAGACTTATGTTAACATTTTGGCCGATCAAGTTCATCCCATGGTACAAACTTTGTTCCACGATGGCGATGGTGTCTTCCAAGACGACAAAGCTCCTGTTCACACAGCTCACATTGTCCAGGACTGGTTTTCTGAGCACGAGGATGAGTTGTCCCATCTCCCCTGGCCACCACAGTCACCAGACCTGAATATTATCGAACCTTTGTGGTCTACATTGGTACGGAAAGTGCGTTCTCGTTATCCACCGCCAACATCGTTATCTGAACTTGCCACCGTCGTTTTGCAGGAAGAATGGTATAATATTCCCTTGGCAAACATACAGGAACTGTATTTATCCATTCCGAGAAGACTGCAAGCTGTTTTAATGCCAACGGGTTTCCTACACCATATTAAGCAAAGAAACATGTTTTTTTTAAAGGTGTTTCCATATTTTTGTCCAACCCCTGTACCTTACAATGCTAGTAATACAGGTAAGCCAGCTTTCCCCGAGGTTAAAAACTTTCGCATAGATAAGGTACCAGGGCATTAATGAAGATCATTTTTTAACTTGAAAACAGCACTCTCGACAAAAGTCCCAACACTCTAGGCAAGAAGGATTTTTCTTTGCTTTATTAGCAAACTAAAGCTTTGCTTTAATAGCTACTCACATAAATGTAACTCGCCATAAGGGAGCCCAGCATTTTTCTGAGCGTTTCTTTTTATTAAGCTGTAGAGACATTAGGATTTTTGGAAGCAAGAGATGTGAAAAACGAGCAAATCCCGGACCTCTCGAATACGCGTCGAGTGTGCTGATCACTACACCACGAAGGCATGCTAAGAAGACGGGAACTATACCTTATACAGTTTAAAACTGATCTTCATAAAGATGCCTTCATTATCAGAGCACCCCTGTGAAAGATTTTTCACTTGGCTAACAGTGGATGGCTTACATTAACCTTTTGCGGCGCAATGTGTCCGGTCTGGACACACCTAAAAATTTCCTCGTGTACGCACAGAAAAACTGAATGAAAAAGGATTTATAGGTTACTATAGGTTACTCTGAACCTTCTTTATTTATAGTAGATGGCAGCTCAACACAAACCAGTCCATATATTTTAGCCATTTTCAGTTTTTTAAGACCCTCATTTTTCAAAGAAATCATCCAGATTTTTTTTATGGTATAAAAGGAATTGTTTGGAAAGTAATTTCTATGTTATTTTTTGGCTGTATGCTAATCTCCTTATTCTATATCAGTTTTAAATTTTTACCTTAAAATCTTGCCTAAAATCAAACGGCGAACTCTAGATGTGCCCAGACCGGGCTCACCGATCATCTAGGACAACGGAGAGTCTGTATTCTTTGTTTCTTCGCATCTCATCGGTTAGTTCATTGACAACAAGGCTCGTTTCAGCACACGTTTCGAAGCTCTATTGAATCAGTGTGCCACTTTGGGCACACCCATAGAATTAAAACGATAAGTGCTATCTTCACAAAATTTTACTTGTGTACTCCTCTAGGCCTAATTAGACAGCCTACCCTTTTTTTTTATTTCATTTTATTATTTTTTTTTAAATCAAAACTCTGACTTTAAAAGGTAGCGTGCCGAAGAGGTTAAAGCGCCAACACTTTTATGCATTCTAGAACAATCAATTTCATCTTCGTACATTTCTGACACTTTGCAGGCACGAGAGCAATACCGAGTTGTGGAAAACTGCCTCCTTAGAGCGCTGGACAGACGAGATGGCGGGCATGCGTGACATTCTTTCACGTTACGCTCTTATCCCCTCCACGGAGATACAAGGCCACAGAGCACCCTTTTTACAGACCGCGGGCGACGTCACCTTCCAGATGCTTCAAGGGAATGCATTCGCCTATGACTCGTCCATGCCTACCAGAGTCTTCATGGAACCCCCCACTTGGCCTTATACTCTAGATTTCGGTTACCCCCAGGATTGTCAGATACAACCGTGCCCGAAGAAGGCGTTTCCCGGTGAGTTCTTCCATTCCTAATTCTATTCGAAAATTAATTAAATTACAGCTCAATAAAAAGGGTGCAAGACAATGGAAATACCTGTTAGTCTATATAATAACAGTAGTAAAACGCTTTCTTAATATTTAAACGTTATTCTTTTCAGCCGACGATGAATTCCTCTTCAGGCAGATAAAGCTCAGAAACAAGAGATCGGGATTTTGTCAATCGACAATACATAAAATTTTTTATTCATTTTCGTTGGTTAAAGTGAATTCACAATATTCTTTATAAAATCTATAATAACCGCGGCGTACAGTGTTCGTCGTCATCGTATGGGTGTACTATTACCCCAGCTATTCGACCCTTATGTGCTATAGCTTTGTACTCATGGTAGGCTTTATTGGGTTGGGCAACTAAGTAATTGCGGATTTCACTCATAGATGGCTTCAGTTGAATTTTTAGGGTTGCAGACGTAGTACAAATGTAAAACACATTTTGTTATTTGATAGTTGGCAATTCAGCTGTCAATCAGTAAAAAAAGTTTTTTGATCGGTTGCGTAGTTTTCGTTTGGCGTTCGTTGAAAAATGGAAAATCAAAAGGAACATTTTCGTCATATTTTGCTTTTTTATTTCCGCAAAGGGAAAAACGCATCGCAAGCTCATAAAAAGTTATGTGCTGTTTATGGTGACGAAGCCTTAAAAGAACGGCAGTGTCAAAATTGGTTTGCCAAATTTCGTTCTGGTGATTTTTCACTCAAAGATGAAAAAAACGCTCTGGTCGTCCAGTTGAAGTTGATGACGACCTAATCAAAGCAATAATCGATTCGGATCGTCACAGTACAACACGTGAGATTGCAGAGAAGCTTCATGTATCACATACATGCATTGAAAATCACTTAAAACAACTTGGCTATGTTCAAAAACTCGATACATGGGTTCCTCACGAACTGAAAGAAACGCATTTAACGCAACGCATTAACAGCTGCGATTTGCTAAAGAAACGTAATGAAAATGATCCATTTTTAAAACGACTGATAACTGGCGATGAAAAATGGGTTGTTTACAACAATATCAAGCGGAAAAGATCGTGGAGCAGGCCAGGTGAACCAACTCAAACAACATCAAAAGCTGATATTCATCAAAAGAAGGTTTTGTTATCAGTTTGGGTGGGATTACAAAGGAATTGTCTACTTTGAACTCTTACCGCCCAACCGAACGATCAATTCTGATGTCTACATTAAACAACTAACGAAATTAAACAATGCAATTGAAGAAAAGCGGCCCGAATTTGACAAATCGAAAAGGTGTATTCCATCATGACAATGCAAGGCCACACACATCTTTGGTCACTCGGCAAAAATTATTGGAGCTTGGTTGGGATGTTTTGCCACATCCACCATATAGTCCTGACCTTGCACCATCTGATTACTTTTTGTTTCGATCTTTACAAAACTCCTTGAATGGTAAAAATTTCAATAATGATGATGATGTCAAATCGTACCTGATTCAGTTTTTTGCTAATAAAAACCAGAAGTTTTATGAACGTGGGATTATGATGCTGCCTGAAAGATGGCAAAAGGTCATTGATCAAATGGGGGCAATACATTACAGAATAAAGTTATTTAGTTCCATGAAAAAATTGTCTTTGATTTTCTAAAAAAAATCCGCAATTACTTAGTTGCCAACCCAATATTATTAGCCAGAGTATTAAATTTAGTTGTAAGATGGGGTAAAAAAGAGTACTGAGAGCGAAGTGTTGATGGTGGGACGCGTTCAAAGATGAGCCAATAAATGCTCGCCACCCAGGAATAGGGATGTGGTGGGTCGAGCTTCACATCCTTATTCCGGGGGAGGGGGGCAACCTCAGACGCTAGTACACACAATCAGTTTCTGAATTTAGTTTGTGCATTTTGCATTGAGAAAGAGCTTGAGTGTTTTTGTTATCTGCTTTTTTAAATTACAAGTGTTCTGTTATGTACTACCACGCGGGCGATTTTCTCATGCAGGGTTTTACAATTTTATGAAACCTCAGAGGGAGGAGGGAGGGCGTTTTCATCAGGGAATCTCCATACACAATTTCTTTCATTCTCTCGAGCTTTGTCTTCCAGAGCCAGGAATAGAAATATATCCCTACACGAAAAAGACAACGCTTTTCGAAAGCGATTATCTGTAGCATAGGCGTAACACTTATAAATCTATATTGTTTGGAAAAATCTCGCTTAATGCCTACCATCGGGGAGTAAAAAGTACTCTATAATATAATATAGCTACTGCAGAATTTCTAACACCAGATTTTCTGCGCATTGTGTCTGGATCCAAAATAAAATCGAATGGCCATCTTGAAATGCTGTAAACAACGCACAAATTGCAAACCTCTCTGCATATTTCCTTTTTAAATTTTATTCAAATGGTAGAAGTATGATTTTTAATGCATTCATTTCCTTCTTATAACATTTGAGATTTTACTTTGAAACAGAAGTGCAGAAGCAAATATCTTAAGATCTTCGAATATGTTACTGTTGCAAGAATTGGGATAACCTATTTATGTCAAAAGCAATTACTTCCAACTTTTTACAGCTCACTACATACTGAATATAGCTGCTTTCTGAAGTAGTAAGCAGAAAATTTGTGTTGCCACAAATATTTTTATAAGTTAATCTGCTTTGTGACAAAATGTTTTATGCGTTCACGCCATGTTGCCACCTTGAAGGCACAGTTTAAAACATTCTGTTGCCTAGTTCAATTCCATACTTAATATATAGCTTTTATAACATTCGAAAAACTACTGTAAACCAAAAATAATCCAAGGAATTTCATGTTAAAGTTTTATTTTATTTGGAGTTGAGTTTATAAAATATATTTATTAAAAAAATCTGTAATGGTTCCATGCATAAAATTGTTTAATTTTATGCACGAATAAAATTGTTTAATATTAAAATATTCATCAGATTTTTGGTTCAGTTAGAAGATAGTGACCATATAAGGAATTCCATCAAATTTCAAGTATGTATCACTAGCCATTTTTAAAATATCATGGGCGCAAGGTGGAAACATGACCTGAACGCATAAAAATTTTGTCACAAAGCAGATTAAATTATAAAAATATTTGTAGCAACACACATTTTCTGGTTACTGGTTCTCAAAGCAGCTATATTATATAGTCAGCTGTAAAAAGTTGGAAGTAATTGTTTTTAAAATAAATAAATATCTCAATTCTTGCAGTTACATATTCGAAGATCTTAAGGGTTTTAAGATATATTAGTCCCCTTAAAACTCTGTGAAAGTTTTCACCTAAAATACAAAGCCTTTAGAACTAAACTCTTTTTCTTAGCTAAATTTTAATGCTATTCGAGGGAAAGATTTCAGTTTTACGAAAGGTTTTTCAATTCAATTTTTGAACTAATAGCAGTACATTTAAAGAGTACTAGATTTTCAGCGCGTTAAACTTGAAAAATTATCTAGGCTTTCGCAAATATTCTAATTATGTATACTGCTCTTCGAAATTAAAGGATATTTGTGAGGGGGGAAGGACTTATATGTTAGACTGAAAATGATTAATAACAATTTGAATTATTTAACACAAATTACCATGTTTGTCAATTGATAATTCTCAATATTAAATTGAGGTCAAATTTATGAAAATTAAAAAACCGATGGGGAAATGATATAACTTGATTCGGAACAAATTTTCCTTTAATATGAAGTGCTATCGAGTCTTATCGTCACAGAACTTAAAGCTATTGATCACATCTTGTGAAATTGCGTGGCAATCTTTTGAAATTGTGCTTTACAGGTCTTGAAGGGTTCACTAGGGTATTTGGCATGCTACAGTTCGGCAGCCTAAGACATGCCCACACACAGGGGCGTAGCTAAAGTTTCCAGCGCCTGGGGACAACTGAAGAATTTGCGCCCCTTTCTGTATACGAAGAATGGAAAACATTTCATTAAAAAATTTCGTAGTATCAATTTAGTGCCCCTTGGATGCTGCGCCCGGGGACAGATGCCTCAGCCTAGCTACCATGCCAGCCTAGCCCTTGCCCCAGCCTAGCTACGCCATTGCCCACACATGTTAAATCGGATTCCATTTTGGTGGTTAAGCTGGCCAGTTCATTTGAGTGATAGTTTCTGTTTCGAAGTGTTCTGATACTAGAGACTATTGATGCAGAGGTGCATTATTATCCATTAGCAAAATCTTTGAGCCAAGAACACACGCAAATTGCCTTATATAAGATTCCAAGACCTCGTACACATGTCTATAATTTATTGGAAAGCTTCCATCAAAGATATGTGGTTCGGTGTGGCAGTTTCTGATGAGTCTATCCACAACTATGAAATCGCCTCATTGCGAACGGGATCTTTCATGCACAAGGATATGCAAGTTCAGAATTCTTCACTTCCTCCAGATCAACAGGCGTCTAGAATCACAATTCCGATTATATATGGATTCATTGGTAAATAACGGTTCCTTCCTCTTGACTGCACTGAACTTCACGACAGCAGCACTCAAATGGGTCTTTTTGGAAGATAAAATGAAAGAGACTCAAAGCATTGGTTTCCTAGTATAAAATCGATACTTGTGAAGCCTTCGTGTAGTAGAAGAATAGCTGATTCGAATTCCTATGGCAGCCTGAAAGTTTAAAACCACTCTTTTGTAGTAGTTTCAGTTTTCCTCGAGCTGAAAATGACAGCAAATGGTTTTCCAATGAAATTATTGCTCTTGCCCTTCTGGAACAAGCTGACAACTTACTGATTCACTGCTTAAAGAGCAGTTCCAAGTTCTTGATATGGCACCTTGGAGATTCAGATCTTGGACGACTCCTATTTGGGTTTGTCAATAAGCCTCCACTTTTGCCCTTCGCTTTAAATAACTGATTCTGACTATTATTTCTTCTTTTTGAATCGCAACTAAGGAATATTGATCACTGTCAGATATCACTAAACTTTAAACAATGCTACACAGCCAAATTTCAAAAATACATCCTTTGTTCAACACGTCGACATTTGCCTAATCTGAAAATTTCATTGGTTAATCATCACTAACCAGTTTTGCGTTGTTTCAAATATAAATAAAAATCCATCTGAAAATTTCAAAGTATATTTCTAAAGCAACGTATCATGTCGCTTGGTATAGGAACTTGTTTCCTTTTTGCTGTTAAATGAATATGAGTTCTCAAATAGCCGTGACCTATTTTAAGAAAAATTTGGAAGATCTATATATTTTCGCCAATGCAATAGGATCGAGTATCACCTAAACGCAGATTTATTTAACGCTTAGTCATTTTTACAAGTAATATATCGAGATTTTATTTATTTTTTTCATCACAAATCATGTATTTACGTCTTAGGAATAAAATGGCGACATAATTTTATTTCCTACCTTGTCGTTTAAGGTCTGTGGGTGTTTCCCATGGTGCAGTGGCGACGAATTTCCAAACAGGGAAAGTCAGTGGTCACCTTCCATTGCTCGATGCTGGATGCCTGCACTCCTTACCCGGAGACCGAAGAAGACACCTTCACCTACTTGATGGACAACTTTCACAGACACTACTACACCAGCAAAGCTCCCTTTCCCGTCTTTCTTCATGAAGCGTGGCTACGGAACGAAAACAGGTAAAGATATCATACTACAATTACATGTTCAGTATTTGCGAGAATCTTCTCAAGTAACGGAGGTTTTTCCATCGAAATAGTCATAATATATTCAATATTCCCAGCGCTGATTCCTGTTTTGTTCCTCTTTCCAGGCTCAAAGGATATCTGGCTTTCTTAGATAATGTGCTGAAGATGAACGATGTTTTCGTAGTGAGTATGCGTGAGGTCCTGGAATACATGAGGAAGCCGGTAGATCTGGAGGCATACAAGAGCACGAAAAGATGCTTTGCCGAAACCCGAGGACAAGTAAATTCCTCTAACCTAAACCTTCTCAACCTTTTTCTCACTAAGAGCATATTCTAGAACAGTGTTTCTCAACCTTTTTTGGTCCGCGGACCGGTAAACCTTACGAAAAAATTTCGCGGACCGGTGTTTTTTTCCCCCGCCCTCCCCCCAAAAATTCTTTGCAAGGTATTCAAGAATTACTACATAAGTTAATTGTAATGTTCTCATTACCATTTGCCTACAATCATATTTAAATATAAAGATAAATAAATATTGTAATTATTACATATCTGTATAATTATCATATATAAGTAAATAAACCTTTGAGAAAAATCACACAACATTAAAAAAATAATCACAAATACCCTTGCATATTAAAAACGGATCGGTGACGGTCCCTGGACAAGCAAATGAGGATCCCTTACCTACCATACCTGAATCGCCACATGTCAACCTCTTCTCGTCCTCAAGTGGCAACAACTGAAATAATTGGAAATCATAATAATGCTTTCGCTGAAATGAACATCTCTACAAGCAACACATTCGATTTTTGGACAATTTTCTTCTGATTGTGGGCAAAGGACAAAACCATATTTCAAATAGTCTGCGATATAGTGCTTTACAAAGCTTTTTTTTTTTTTTTTTTTTTTTTTTTGGCAGATTGTGGACTACACTGACTACCAATAAGTATTTGGACACCTGTGATAGAAAAGAAAAACTAACTTTATTCAAAATCAATAGTTGGTAGAGCCTCCACGAGAGGTAATTACAGCGTGGACCCTCCGGGGCACACTTTCCACAAGTCTTTGTATGACAGCTAGTGGTATTTTCTTCCACTCGGCTTGGAGAAGACATAGAAGTTTCACCGATTTGCACGGTTAGTGCACCCCTGAATTCGGCGATGCAACTCGTCCCAGAGGTTCTCTATAGGGTTCAGGTCTGGATTCTGGGCAAGCCAGTCCATTCGTTGAACTCCATTGGCCCCATACCAAGCCTTGGGTTAACGTCGAAACATGACAACTGGCATTGTTGTCCTGAAAGCAACAGGGGTCCAACCCGTAAAATTGCCACAACGTAGGAAGCACATTGTCATCCAAAATAGTGCAGTAGGCATCGGAGTTGAGCTTACCATGAATGGGGACAAAGGGTCCCAGCCCATACCAGGAGAAACACCCCCCAGATCATAATTCCACCTCCGCCGAACTTGACTGTTGGCACAATGCATTCTGGCAGGAGACGTTCTCCAGGTAGACGCCAGACCCAGACCCTGCAATCCAAACGGTAAAGGGTGAACCTTGATTCGTCACTCCAAAGAACCCGTTTCCACTGATCTACGGTCAATTTCGATGTGCTTTGCACCACGTTAGCCGAGCAGCGCGTTTGGGCTTTGTGATCAAAGGCTTATGGGCAGCAGCACGACCATGAAAACCAAGCAGATGTGCTTCCTTACGGATGGTATTCATTGAAACAATACTCCCGGATGCCTAGTGAAACTCCTCGCGGATGAGGGCCATCGGATGGGTGAGGTTCGTTCCGAATTTCTCTGAACAGCACTCGTCGGTCTCATCCCCCAGTTTCGTTGGTCTGCCGACTCGGGGCACATTCGACAATCACCGCTCATCTTGCACTTCTTAATCACATAGGCCACTGTCGATATTGGGTACTTCAAATCGCTAGATATGTCCCTTAAGGATCGGCCACATTTGTGATACCCGATAATTATACCTTTCCAAAGGGGCGGACGACGTACTTGGTTGTGGAGAATCCTTTCTTTGCACGAAATTTAGTAATGTGCCTTTCGTTTCCTTCTTACTCATCCTGGTTACTGATTTTTAATCTACCTAAAGTTAAAGAAATAGTAGTTAAAGCACAGTATTAAATTCAGCGGTTATTAAAAGCTTACGCTGATGTGTAGTTTTCAGTTGTCAAAGCGTGCAGAAGAAGCAAGATAAAAAGCGAAACCTAACCTAATACGCATACGATAAAGATTCAACGTTCGTACACAGCGATATCAAGGCACAGGGGCAAATAACTCGTGTGGTTTTTTCTAAAATAAAAATAATTGTTTCAAAATTAAAATATACACTACAATCTCTCTTTTTTTAAAAAAATTAAACTTAACTCGATTCTTTCTTTCATAATTCGAAATTTAGATTCGATCCAAATAAAATTCGCAGAATTTTCTGATGTATTTTTTAAAATTTATATGTTTAGTAATTTTTATAACTTTCTCGAAAAAAATTTTGAACCTATACATTTTCTACCATCACATTAAAGAATATGTATTTCTATGCCTACCTGTAAAAATTTAGTATTTCGTATTAAAAGTTTCCCACGATATACCTGAGTTTATATATTGGCGCGTTTTGAAATTTGGCATATTTGTTGTAAGCGATAATAACGTGGTTTAAGCGCATCGAAAATACTATTTGAAAGAATAAGAGCTGCACTTTTTTTTTTTTTTTTTTTTTTGTTTGTTTGTTTGTTTATTTCACTCGTACACAATGAAAGGGAAAGGAAAATAGATTACCATAAATTAAGAATTTTACCAAGTGAATTATTCTTGGCTCAAATTGAAAAAAACTACGCCATAATAATTTTCTAAATTTCTCGGTAAGTTTCTCACCCAATTTTACAAAATTTAATATTTAGGCATAATTTGAACTGTAGAATCGAAATATGACAAAGAAATAGGTATGCGAGTTTAGAAAAAGTACGATTTTGTGTCAAAATACGTATGTTAGAAAGTGCTTTATGTAAATCTAATATATATCCTAATACGCACTTTCGATACATGAGAAATGTTAAGTTAAATCTCGTCAGTCAGCTATATAGATGGAGAGATAAAAAACTGTAATCCCGCTCGCTTTTTTTTTTTTTTTTTTTTTTTTTTTTGTAAAATCTATTTATCATCGCCTTATTGTGGCAAATGTTTCGTCTGCAACAAGCATGGTTTTGGGGTAATGGCAATGCTTTCCCCTCCAATTAAATGTATTGCCAATTTTTCTTGCAAACAAAAATTGCATTTGCTGAACTGAAAACAAGTGGATATCGTTTCAAATATTTTAGAAAGACTCCGCTAAGGACGTTTTTAAAGGTAAGCAGGAATGAAGGAAAATGAGACCTCGGAGGGGAAGGGGAAGACCCTAGACTAAGATTATTTATTACGTAGAGTTAGATTATTTAGTAGTGTATTTAGTTCTTTATAACGAATGTTTACTTTTCTTCCAGGCGGGGAAATGCAACCCTGTCGTCTGCAACTACCGCAAAAGGAACATTCTGATGAAAAGTTGCGTGTCCTGCCCGAAGAGATATCCCTGGTTGAAGAATACGAAAGGCGAGATCATTAAAACCTGAACTTTTTGTTATTTATCGGAAAGACGCTTGAAATGTTTATTTTTGTAATGGTCTTGCGTTCCTAATCGATGACATGATTTTCAATAAATTATACTAATTCGTTTCCGATTGAGTCTCATTTTTCCCACACATGTCAATGATCTTAGTGTCTGGAAAAGCCTTCGCAAGATTTGGTATTATATTTAATAATTGAGTTTTTTATTATTTACTAGCCGCTTCGTCTGGCTTTTAAATGTACCGTAAAAATGCCTAAACGAAACCCCAAACATTAAAATTAAAACCTGCACAGAATTTTACTATGCAAACAACTAAATAAAAAAAAATGCATCACATATTAAAAAAATTACAATGAAATAAGCAATATCCCTTAACACAAATATTAATTATCCTAATAAGAAAATTAACCAACTTCCCGTTGCAAAATCTTAAGAATTCAAATGGTATAAAGTTAGAACAAAGTTAAGAACTTTGTTTCCTAAAAAGCAATCATGCAAAACTTTTGATATAATTAAAAATTACATTTAATTAAAACATAATATATAAAAATTACAATGAAATAAGCAATAAATCTCACATTTTTAAGAGAAAACAGTCAGCAGTCCAGTATCCAAAGCAATGAATGAAAAACTGTTGCCAAAACCACATTTCTAAAAGAATGAAACTATCATCAGAAAGCAATAACCAATCAAAATTGTGCTTTGTGGATGACATAATCCAAAATATACAAACCTCTTTGCCATTAGCTAATAAAGAGAGAGAGATAAAAAGGAAATTCTTTCTATTGTACCTGGCGAGACTCGTGTGCGTCAGAATAAGAAGATTGCGATGTGCGTGTCCGAAAATCAAAAGAAAATAAGCAGCATGAAATAAGCAATATCCCTTAATACAAATATTAATTATCCTAATAAATAAATTAATCAACTTCCCCTTGCCAAAAAAAAATCATGCTAAACATTTCAGTATCTTAAAAACAGTGAAATAAGCAATAAATATTTATCTCATATTTTCAACAGTCAGCAGTCCAGTATACAAAGCATTGAACGAAAAACTGTTGCCAAAACCCCATTTCTAAAAGAATGAAACTATTTAAAATGATGAGATTTCATCAAAAAAGATAAAACTGCTGGTTTGAATAGCTCATCGTAAGTACAGTGAACCCTCTCCAAGAAGACAGTCCACAGCTTCATATAGTGTGTGTGTATAGTGGTGTGTATTTAATCATTGCAAAGCACACTAGGGCTATCTGCCTAAGGGAAGGGATGCCTTCGTGGAGGACTTCTTAAGGGAAATTGGCTCGTATACATGTTACACATGGGGAAAACACCTATGCAGCCAGCCCGTTCGCAGGATTCGAACCACGGACCGAACTACCAGCGTTCAGCGACTTTACCGCTCGAGCCGCTGGTGAGCCCAGCTACATGTGATATATCGTTTATTTAAAAAAATATGTATGTTACGGTGAAACACCCAAATCTGGAGAATGTCGACTTTCACCGGTGAATGTCAACATTCACATAGTCTCTTGGTGTATGTCCGAAATATTTTCCAAATACTCTTCTTTCTGACCTACACCGGTCAATGTCGATATCACCATGTACTAATGGTGAATGTTAAACATATAACAATATTATATTTTCTTCGCCGTCATTCAGTCGCGAATAAACGCACTTGACACTTGAAGTAAGGACTTAAGAACATGAGAACCTAAAACACACAATACATTCAAAATGAGAAAGGAAAATAATAGAAGTTAAAAACTTACTTAATTATACAGTACGTTCTAAATGAGAAAATAAAATAACAGTCTTAAAAAACTTACTAAATTATATGATTCAAATCTTATTTATTGCAACAACTTAAACTATTATGGCACTTTATGACCTCTCTTTTCGACTTTCACCAGAGCATATCTGTGATTGTCGACATACACCGGTGAGGGTCCGAATATACAAGAATGTAGTGAAATATTCGGTCTTTCACCGACGTATTTGGTGAATGTTGATTATTCTCCGGTGAAAGTAGGCATTCTCCAATTTCGGTCTTTCACTGTAACATATATATTGAATTATCAATATTTATAAGACAAAATTTCGAAATGTTTAACCTAAACTCTATTTTGTAGCATACCACAATTTTTTAAATATTTCAAGCTGTGAATTTAATTTTTTAATAATGATTATCTAAAATATTTAATAATCCATATTAATCCATATTTAATATCCAGCAGTGGTGGTTATAGTGACGTAATATCATAGCCATAAATAACTTAAGCCATTAAAATTTTCACTAGTACCAGATATCCTGCATACTGCAATTCGATGCTGCTGAAAAGATAATAACACCAAATATGTTCCTTATCTGCACATGTGAATAAATTATCTGACGATACATTGTTAACGCACTGTCCCGTCTCTTATGTATAAGCATTGTGTACCTAATACAGTATCGCAGCAAAGAGTCTCATCTGAAATTACTGAATGCAGTGCATGCATTAACAGCATTATATAGCCTGTCTGTATTCTACATGTTATATATATAGTGTATAAGTAGTCTGTATTTATCTGCATTGTATCCGCATTACCTGTTTAATCTAATAGCTCTACGTAGAATTATTGGGCTTGGCAACATTACGCAACACAGCCTGCATGGTGCTGCGTGTACAAACTGTGTGGTATTTTGTTGTACAGTGTTTTATTCTGTTTGTATAATTGTCTGCAATATAATATATAATAACTAATACTCTACAAGCATAGTGTATCTGATCTCGCATTGCGTATCTATCTGACTTCACATTGTGTAACTATCTATAAGCATCGTGTACCTAAAGTAACGTAACTGCGTAACTACACAAAGTATATAAGCATTGTATATATTGCTTATACAAGTGCAAGCAATCTAATAACAAAATTTAATATTCTACAGTGTGTCTGCATGCTTTATGTATGTTTTATATGCGCATTTTACATGTGATCTATATGTGTCTTTAAATGTGTATAATATATATTAGCTTGATTATGTTTCATTATAAGTATATGTTTTACTTGTATAAGCGTGTGCAAACTAATATCTAATTTCTATTATTCTATAACGAGCTTACATGTTTTATATGTGTTATACATGTGCTTTTATATGTGTTTTACACGTGCCTTTATATGTGCAAGTGTAAGTGTATGTGTTTGTATATGCTGTAATTAGTGTGTAACAAACCAAGATGTAACAAATCATTCGCCTACCGATCAAAACTAATGTATTCTTAAGACGCCTCTGTATGGCCATGTACAACTACTTAAAATTCTTCAATAAACTCCCGAGGTGGCCTCATGAGGCTCCTGGGAGTTGCTGGCACTAGATAGGGAAGGGCGCGGGACATATGTCTATTTACCTTTGTTAAACATCAGGCGTCCCCGCGGTTCTCTGTCACCTGTCCCGTCTGTTACAAAAGCAGTAAGCGCTTCTTCAGACGGCCATCCACGGTTCTATATGATTTTGGTCTCGTGTGGAGATGGTTGTCTTAGAGAGGTTGTAGAGCCATTAGGTTAATTGGAAGCAGAAAAGATGAAAAATATGCAACCGCCTTCGCCGGGAATCGAACCACGGACCTCTGGAATACCGGCCCAGCTTGCTACCGTTACACCACGAAGGCACGCTAGGGAAGTGGGAAAAATACTTATAAGGTTATCTTCAGTGTAGCTGTTTTCTTATATTTGTCATTTTATATTTGAGATGATATTTCTTATATTTGTCATATTTAAGCGCAACGACCTTGGCACAGTTTAGCGAATTTCACAAGAAAAAGAACGAAAATAATACAAAAAATCCCAATTTTGAATTACGTCCAAAGGGGCGATTTTTTTAAAGCTTTGCGCGTTACCTTTATTTATTAAATATCATGTTCTAAGTATTCAAATCATAAAGTTCAGTTCAACATCAATATCGCAAAATAATTTTTAAATGAGCATATGTTTAGAAATTCCGATACGAAGTTCAGCGCGCTGGATATAAAAAGTTTTTGTTTTCCCGTGCAGTGCAGCCATAGCTCGCTTTGAAGTCGTTGAGTTTGTTAATCAAAAATTCGTTAACGTTTTACAAAATGTGAAATAGATAATAAAATAAATTCCAAATTCGGGCTTCCAGATGCCCATATTCGGGTGGAGACGTACGTTATTCAAAATTGGATGGTTCTAAGTACAATTGCTTTATCACAATGAGAGAAACATACATACATTCATGCAGATTCTTCATAATTTAATTTCTTTAAATATAATACGGGGCGATAACATTTATTGGCAACAATTTGAAAAGTGAAACAACGCTCGTAGCGAATCGACGTAAAATGCCAAAACGAAATTAATAGTCCTTCGGGGAAAATTGCCCCTTTGGACTAATGATTGTTGATTCTAAAGAATTATACAAACAGACATATTACAGACATATTTTACGTTTTAGCTCTATATTTATTCCCCAAAACAATGAATAAATGCAATTACAAGCGGGCTTTTAAGTTCCTTTTGCTCGAGTGGGAATTTGGTGGGGATCGTTTTAAGCACTTGTTCCCCTTAGCGATTTTTCTGGTAAAATAGCGTATCTTGCAGAAATTTTACATCGTTTTCTTTCATTGCAGCAAATCCCTTAAAACATATTTTAAAGCTTAGTTTAGGCCAAAAAATTTCAGAATTTCTCAATAAATTCTATTGGAGTTTGGAAAACAACCAAAGGAACGCGTAAGAAAATGACGACTTTGATTGTTAAGAAGGAAAAATTGCCATGTGCGTGATTGTTATGCTAGTTATTCCCATAGTTTGGCGTGTTCTGAAATACGGACGAATTCTCCGGAAATGGTTAAGTTAACACAAGCAAGAATTTTATCTTCATTAAAATAATGCCAAAAAAAAAAAAAAAAAAAAAAAAAAAAAAATTAAAAAAATAACGTTCCACCAATTATTTTATAGTAGGTACGTACCTGGCCAGCAAATGAGGCCATTTAGCCTGAATCTTTGAAATTTTGTAGCAAAGAGCAAATCAAACTATAAAATTAAAAAATAAGACATATTGTTTTTTAAATTGATCAAAATGAATGGACCCGCAGAAGACTATTCTCCTTTCAAA